GGTGGGGAAGGGACTTATCTGCCCGGCAGACTCCCACAGGTGCTTGTATTGAGCCCCGTCTCCTCCTCGTGCGGGGGGCGTGTGTGTGCTGAGTGTAAATATAAGATGGGGGGGGTCTTCTCCTTTTTTACTCTAAATTATTTGTTGTATGTTACTCATCGCTTGCATTTCTTGAGCGACAAAACCAAACTTGACTGAACTTCAGCCTGCATTCCTCACACGAGGGATCAGTACCTCAGTATTTTCCTGGTACCTCATTTTTTAGTGTCCCCACTTCAGTCCATGCAGAAAAGGCAGGTGGTTCCCACAGGGGTGAGAGGCTCTTCAGACCTGCTTTCGGGAGCAGCTGAAAATGAAGGACGCCATTCAAAGTTACCCTACAATTCAGCTTGGTGAAGGGCAGGTGAACTTGTTTGTCTCCAGCCCCTCTTAAAGTAAGCAGTTTTTCTGGGCCTGCTGCAAGGGAGATGGGTGCTGCTTCAGCTGGGTCAGACTCGCCCTCTGGGAGCGAGGGCGCACTGGCGGCTCTCTTGGCAGGAGACTGGGCAGAGGGACAGTGTACACCCAGCTGCGTCTGGTAGCGAATGTGTGGGAGAGCTTCCAAATCTGTTTTATTTACACTTGGAATCAATTCTCACTATCTTCCCCAGTATCGTCTTATTTCAGAAAAATGCCATTGTCAGGGCGTTGAGTCAACTGTCTGATACATTCAAATAAATACTTTCAGTTCTTTGTTTCACGTTGTCACACGTTGGCAGTTGCAGTGGGGTTTCCTTTGGTCTTTGTTTTTTTCTAAGTAAGGGAAAATACAGTGTACAGCTGCTAACGTGCTCTTTTATTGCATACTTACTCAAGTTGACACTATTAATGAAGACGTGCTTTACAATGCATTATTTGTAAATTTGCCACATAGTCAGGATTATGCGATAGAATCTTTTAAATTAATATAGGAAACTTTAAAATAATTTTATAATATACCTATTTGTGTTTTAACATGCAGCACAGACACTCAGAGCAAAGTAGAAGAAAGTATTTAAAAACTGGCAGAAATTATTAAAATATGGGAACTATTCTTGCTTTTCACATATATGTGTCATATTTCTCAAATTTTGTGCTGATACATGGACAATTTTGTCTTTGCAAATTGGATCATATTGCCGACTCTTTTACCATGCTTTGGTTCTCACTTTTAGCTGGCTGCTACTAAGCTCTTTGACTTTTGCATCGAAAATTTATTTTAGACCATAAAAATGTCAGAAAAGCAGTATTTTTCTTCGACAACATTTTATTTTTGTGGCCTGCAGGTCATTTTACTGACCAAAATGAAGTCTTACACAATAACATGACAATTATCATTAACATTTACTGCTGGTTTTGGACACTGGATGAAAAGCTGTAGTCCAATAATGCTATTTCTTTGAAGAATTACAGTATTCTATGGAGTTGTGCATATAATTTACGAAACAGCCATTTCCTTGACCTACTCTTTCCTACATACATTAGAAATAATACATTTTCTAATGGTCCAAATAAAATATTTCAGGCACCTCTGTAATCTGATTTTATGTTGTACTACAGCGAAAGAAAAAAATATAAAAATATATAAATATAGTATTAATATAAAATTGTTGTGAAACTTACTTTCTATGCTTATATATTTATTAACCAGTAGAGGGCTGTCATTTGTTACCTTGGAAGAGCAGAATTTAGGCCTAAATCTTGCAATTCATTTTTGTGTAATTTTTCTTTGCAAAACATTAGAGTAATATTTAAAAAGTATTCATAAAAACACAAGAAAGAACTTGTATAGGAACAGGATAAATAAAATTGGCCTAAGAATTAGCTAAGAATTAGATATGATACGTAATTTTAAAGTTTGGATTAATAAGCTAGGAGGGTGATATTCAGGGGAGTACACTCTTAACACATTTCTGTATTTAACAACGAAGGCTTGGTTTTAATTTTAAACAAATTAAAACTTGTTATATAAATATATGTAATAAACATTTTGAGTAACTTTAGGAGTCTCATTCCATATAAAATTATAAACAAATGCAAATTACAGGCTACTTTCAAGCTGATAGATTATGTGAGATGGTCAGTACAGCCCATTATCAACCTCCCAAGAAAGGGATTTACTTGTATGTTTTAAAAATGCATTAACAGACCTATTTACTTCACCATATTAATATTATATGAAAGGCAGGTTAATTGTACAGTAGTGCAATAGAACAAATCAGCAGAGGTGGGATTATTATTTGCATCACTTGTTATTATTGGGATCACCAATATTAATATTAATCTTCTCTTTAATGCATGCATTTGACAACTATTTTTTTTTAAATTTTATTTTTGACAAGTTATTAATTATTACTAGGGAAGAGAAAAATGCAAGAAGCCATGACTAAGTCATTAATCTGCTCATTTGTGTAACGACAACAGTCTTTTCTGAAAACTAGTAACAGTTCTTCTGTGTCATATTAATAAATTTTTCTCACTAATAATGTAAAGAGCTGAGGAGGACTACCTGTGAGAAGAAAACCAATATTTAGATAACTTATGTAAAACTTATTTTATATTATTTCTAAAACATCAACATTTTATTTTGTCTTCCATCTTATCTTTGTATTTAAGTAAAACTCAGTAGTTTCAGCTATGAAAATGTGTTGAGATTTCTTATTCAGGATTTTTATTGTGTATTTGGCCCGGTTTGTTGTTTGGATTTTAGCCTGATCAGCCTCATTATCTACAGCTAAAAATTGCTGACTTATTTAGGGAATGTTTTAAACTTCAGTTGTGTTAGCCAACTGAGACGACTAGGGCCAATTTCTTTGAAATGGCCTAAAAATTCTCACATTTTGCAATTTCCCAAAGAGCCAATTTTGCAATCAATAACATCTACTATATTTACTTCAAATCCTATATACCTTTTGATTCATTATGTCTGATTAGGTTTATCAATACACTGGTTCCTAAAATCATTAGCTGATGAATCTTAAGAGGTTAATATCTATAGTCCTCTTATTGGAGTTACCTTGCATCATTATATCATAGACTACGTATTTATTATTTTTCACACCTTTAGTAAAAACAAAGACCTGTCGGAGGAGACAAACAAAATTGTCTGAATTTGTGCATAGTTTTGTTATCCAGTTTCCCAAGGAAATACATCTTTTTTTTTCTTTTTTTCATAAGAACAAGCTTCCTTTCTAAGTAAAAGAGTAAAATAGAAATACTGATATTTATCTGTAGGTATAAAGATACATTGGAAATCGAAAAAACGTGTTCCATAATTTTGAAATTTATTATAAGCCATTTTATAGCCACATCTGTTCATGTTCTTAGAATATTTAGTTCTGAGGTGGGCACTTTCTGTAATTTGTAACTGGCTGAAATAGATTTTTCTCCAGCAGTCTACATACAGAACGTTCTTTAAAGGTTAAAAAATATTTCTTCTATAAAAGAAAACCTAATTATTCTTTTTCAAGGAAGCTATTGTAAAAATTAAACATGACATGCTTTTGCTGGGTTAAAAATGAACTCCAATTAAAGAATTGATTTGGGCTATGATCTGATGGATAGGAAACATTAGTAAGGGAAAGGTAAGTTCTCATCCTACATTGAGTCTGCACAGACTGTGAGACCCTGGAATTACTAACTCCTTCACTTTCGTTTCCCCTTTAGGTACAATTTTCATACAAGTAACAGCAAGTGTGTTCAATGTACTTTGTCTTAAGGAAACTCAGAATTAAACTTAAGCAGCTGTTAATGATTTTCACAGTATTTTTCTCCACAATTACAAAGCTAGGTTAAAAATTTTAAATATATGTACAGTTTGTACTTAAGTACCCTGAA